AAGAGGAGGCTGAGGGGAGACCTCCTGGCCCTCGGCAACTCCCTGCCAGGAGGGGGCAGAGAGGGGGGATGAGTCTCTGGAGCCAAGGCCCCAGCGCCAGGCCCCGAGGGAATGGCCTCAAGCTGCCCAGGGCAGGGTCAGGCTGGCTCTGAGGAAGGATTTCTGTGCAGAAGGGGCTGTTGGGCGTTGGAATGGGCTGCCCAGGGCAGGGGGGAGTCCCCGGGATCCCTGGGGGGGTTGAAGAGTCGGGCTGAGCCAGCGCTGAGGGATCTGGGGGAGTTGGGAACGGTCAGGGGGAGGGTCAGGGTTGGGCTGGAGGAGTTCAAGGGCTTTTCTAGCCAAGATGATTCTGTGAGATGAGGGGGTTGAGGAGACAAGCCCATCCTTGGCTGCAGAGTCAGGGCAGAAGGAAACCAGTCTGGCAGCCCAGCCAGCTGGGAGGGGGGTGAGGGGCAGAGCCCTCCTCATCAGGGACGGGGGATATTCGGGGTCAGCAGCTCTGTCCTTGCCAGCTCAAGACCGTCATCAAGCTTCAGAGTGTCTCCTTTTTTTTTTTTTTCAGCCTCTCAAATGGAGATTAAAAAGCCCTTTATTCTTTCCTCTATGAAACTTCCTCTGCAAGACAGCAACAATAAGGTAAGCTGAGCTTCTGCTTTTCCAGGGGGTGCTTTGGGGGGGGTGTGTGTGTGTTTATTTATGGGGCCCTGCACAGCTGTGCCCTGTGCCCCTGCCAGCCTGGCTCTCCCTCCCATCTCTCCCCTGGCTGGGCTTTCGGCTGTCGTGCCAGCGTGCCCAGGACATACCCTCCGCATGTTGGGGAGCACAGGGGGACCCGTTTTCCATCTGAGCGTCACCCACAGCATGGTGCTGCCTGTGAACAGCACTGGCTGGCGACTTGCCTTGTGCAGTTGCAGGATTTATCCCATTTGCAAACCACAAACGTTGCTTTGCTGGATGTAACCACGTGCAGTGGCGGGTGGTGTGGCCGTGGGCCACAAAAATCCTGCAGCCACGAGCCGCAGGCAACGACCCGCTGTCCCGGGTGGTGCCAGGCTGCTGCTGGCCAAGCTCAAACCCAGCTTACGGGCTGCATGGCACCCATCATAACCTTCCCCACTGAGGAGGAGCCGCCGAAGGGTGAGGAGGGTCCCCGCGGCAGGCAGAACCCCCTGCCCGCAGCCTCTCCCCGCCGACGGTGCCGGTGCTCTGCCCGCGCAGGTGAAGCGGGCGGTGGTGCAGGTGATCAGCGCCATGGCTCACCACGGCTACCTGGAGCAGCCCGGCGGCGAGGCCATGCTGGAGTTCCTGGTGCGGCAGTGCGCCCTGCCCTCCGAGCCGGTAAGCGCGGCCACACCGGGTTCAGCTCGGGAAGGAAGGAGCCCGGCGGGGTGGGGAAGTGCCTGTCTGGAGCTGGGCACCCTCTGCGGCAGAGCCTGGGGGAGGCAGGGCTGCGGGTGGGGGCTGCTTGGGATTAGGGTTGGGTTTAGGGGTTGGAGTTAGGGTTTAGGCTTGGGGGTTAGAGGTTATCAGGGTTGTTACGATCAGGGGTTGGGTTTAGTGGCTGGAATTAGGGTTTAGACTTGGGGTTAGGGTTATTATGGTTGTTGGGGTTGGCTTTAGGGGTTGTGTTATGGTTTAGGCTTGGGGTTAGGGTTATTATGGTTGTTGGGGTTGGGTTTAGGGGTTGTGTTATGGTTTAGGCTTGGGGGTTAGGGTTATTACGGTTGTTGGGGTCAGGGGTTGGGGTTGGTTTAGGGGTTGCATTAGGGGTTGGAGTTAGGGTTTAGGATTGGGGTTAAAGGTGAGGTTTAGGTTTAGGGATTAGAGGGTTATTAGGATTGTTAGAGTCAGGGTTTGGGTTTAGGGGTTGTGTTAAGGTTTGGAGTTAGGGTTTAGGGTTAGGGGTTAAAGGTGAGGGTTGGGGGTTAGAGATTAGGGTTATTAGCATTGTTAGGGTTAGGGGTCAGGGGTTGGGTTTAGGGTTTGGGGTCAAGGGTTGAGGTTTAGGGGTTGGGATTATTAGTGTGGTTAGAGTTTGTGGTTAGGGTTTGGGTTTAGGGTTATTAGGGTTGGGGTTATTAGTGTGGTTAGGGTTATTAAGGTTGTTAGGGGTTGGGGTTTAGGGGCTAGGGGTTGGGGTTATTAGGGTGGTTAGAGTTTAAGGGTTAGAGTTAGGGTTGTTAGGGTTAAGGGTTAGGGTTATTAGGGTGGTGAGGGTTTGGGTTTAGGAGTCAGGGTTAAGGGTTTGGGGTTTAGGGGTTAGAGTTCAGCGGTTAGGGTTTGTTAGGGTTTAGGGGTTAGAGTTATTAGGGTTGTTAGGGCTAAGGGTTAGGGTTATGAGGATTGTTAGGGGCTAGGGTTGTTAGGATTAGGGTTATTAGGGTGGTTAGGGTTAAGGGTTATTAGGGTTAGGGC